TATAGCTAATTTTAACTCTGTCCTTAAGTTGCTTATATTGAGAAGGATGTCACAAGTCCAGAGCAACCAAGGACAACAAAACTGGAGGGGTCTTTAGAAATCTCAAGGTCTGGAGATACTGAGAAATTTGTCTTCTTAGGTAGCTGTGGCAGAGATGAGCTGAATGCTCTGGTTTGTTCAGTGCTGCCTTTAGACTGAGGAAGTTCCACGTGGTTAATATTATAACTCACAAAGTGTTGAGCCCCAAAGATGGAAGTTGAAGCACTTCTCCTGGGCAGAATACCTTCTGGTATGGTGGTTCCAGGCACTCTTAGCTATGAGAATGAGCCCTTCTTGAACAAAGTTTCACTTTGCACAAAGGAGAAATTTCCTTTGCCGTATTTTGGAAGTTCTAAAATGTCTTGGATACAGTCTGGCAAATAGAATTTCTATAATCTGAAACTTTATTCAAAGTCTATTTGGCAAAAAACTTTGTTTGTATTGCCCATATTTAATAATAATTATTTTCTTCCCCTCTTCTATTTTTCCTTACAATTAGGAAAGGCAAGTGCTTTGAAATGGCCACATGGCATGAAATTAAAAATTTTAGCAAGGATTAGAAAGGGAAGACAGACTGTCTGGTTTCCTTTAGGTGCACTGTACTAGTTGCCCTGGCTTCTTTGCTATGGTCATACTTTTCAGATTTAGAACATGGATGAACTTGAATTGTTCCCTTTGCAAGCTCAGAAGCCTGCAAATGATGGAACGATCACATATTCAGAAGGATCTGAGACACTCTTTCAGTCGAAAAAACAACAACTCTATATTGTGTTTGATACTTGTCACAAATTAGAAAAACTGAATAGAATAATGTCTGAAAAAGAGGAAAGGGTATATATCAGAGGTTGACATTAAGCCTTGTCCAATAGATATTTTAGCACATAGCCTCAAAATATGGGAAACAAGTAATATAAAGCCAACTTATTAAAAATAATATCTAATTCAAAACAACAACTATTTGTCAAAGAAATATTTGGCTTTTAAAGAAGAATAGGGCATAAGTGCAAATTGATAAATTTGGTTCTTTATTGTTGTCTGATGGATATTACTCTGTACACCAGGGTGTGCTAGCCATCCGATGTAAATATGGATGAAAATTTATTTTCTGGTTGATTGGGAATGTGTACATCTTTTGGTGGATGTGGGTAACAGATGTCTTGTGGGTAACAGATGTCTTGGCTTTTACAGACTAATTGGCAAAGAGGGAGTAAAAGGGAGATAATTAAAGGGGTGGGAGTAGACACAAGAAAAGTGCAATCTTCCTTGTGGGGAAAAATCTAATAGACCTCTTTATTATGGGTAATTGCCTCTTCTTCAACCTCATTTGCTATCCCTTTCCATATGACTCAAGTACATTTGTAATGAGAAAGTATAAAATAAAGAATAATAAGGCAGGACAACTGTCTGCTAACAACCAGATTTATCCTGTCATGGAATATTCTAATATAATTGACTCAATTAACATCAGATTTCTAAAAAACAATATGAAAGCAAAAGTCTCATTGTCAAGGCCACTTAAATTTTAATACAAGATAGAATTTTTGAGGATAGTTAGTATAAGTAGTTATGTGTCAAATGTGACTACATAGTGGACTAGTGGAAAATGAAAAATGAGAGCCTAAATATGTCATATGTTACTTATAGATCATAGGCCCCGTTTGGTTTTCTGTTTGTTCTCTGTCCGTGCAATAATACTGCTAATTGACCTGGAATGAATAGGAACATTTAGCAGATGTTGAAAGCCATTATCATTAACAAATCCTCAATTTTGTCAGTGTTTTCCATTGTGCAAGATTTAAAATAAGCTGTCATTCTGTCTTAACTCTATTACCTAGGTCTATATTTTTGTGGATGGTAACTTTTACTTTAAGCTGAAGGAAATTTTTATCACCTATTAAACATTCAGTGAGTATCCACATTACTCCTTGATAAGAACTGTTATGTAATATTTTTATAAGAACCAGTTAGTGCTTGGAAGAGAAAGTATCAGGACAGGTATTTAGATATTTACTTAATAAAAATTTAGATAAGCTGAAAGTTAAGATTACTTATTCTAGATGCAAGGCACATGCTACTGACTTTTATTTGACCATATGTCTCACCACAAAATGGACAGGTTGAATTTGTTTAAAAATAGGAACAGTTTTTTAAAAGTTTATTGAAATAATACAGATAAAAAGTCAGTTATCAATTATTAATTAAATATTAATTTCTTTCTGCTGTATAACAATTATATTTTATTCACAGTTGCTTGAAACTCCTGGGCTGGAAGAATTTTTTTTTTTTTAAGAAAATGACAGCTTTGATGGGATAGAAATAGTGTTGCTTGTGTAGTCTAGAGACTATTCGATTAAGATGATCATTTGATCTTTTTGAGTCTCATTCATTATCTATCAACTCCCATAGCTTCACTGGGAATTATATGCCATGCTAAATGCACATGAACTAGCATATGATTAGTTGTTGAGTACTTCAGGGTTGTCTTTAGAGAGTGGATCCATATTCCTTGGTTACTTGCCATGATTTTCTGGCTCAGCTTCTCTTAGAGAAAATTCAAGGACTCTAATGAATCTTGTTACAGATGATTTGAAGTTGTATCACAAGAGTTACTCTTCTTCCCATCTTTAGCACCTTAAATTATAAGGGTGAAGAACAATGAAGGAGGGGAAGTATCTTAATTGTTGAATGTTTTCTATATTTCCATAAATGTAAATTATAGAGTTAGAAAATGTTGGTAATATATGAGATTTTAAGATTTCTGGATGCACTGTCCCTACTCTGGTTTATTTCCCATTTCCAATGAAAGGCACGAAGGCTCTGTATAGTCAAATAGTTTCTCCAGAGTCAATCAGCAAGTGAGTGACAAGGTAAGGGCTAGAACCTTTCTCTTTCTCTGAATTTTTTCTCTGGACTATCATCAACCATCACTTGCTCTGTGGCCATCTAGGATCTAGTCTGGATCATCAACAGAATGAGAACACTCAACTAACACTTAGCAGAGCAGAGAAATTCATTTCTTTATCATGCTTTTTAAAATAATCTCTACATCCTAAATCATTCAGCCATTCCCTTATGGACTAAACATATGTTTTGATTGTTTGTGTAAGACAACTGGCTTTATCCTCTCCAGGCATAGGAGAGATGGTCACTATAGTTTTTCCTGTAGGCCAGAAATTGGGCTAAGAGCATTACATAGATTAACTGATTTATTCTTTATAGCAGCACTATAAGGATGCATACTTCTTTTAATTATTACCTTTCATAAAATGAAATGGAGGCACAGAGGGACCAAGTAATGCCTATGATTACAAAGCTAGTATAAGCAGGATTTGAAGGCCTTTTTCAGGTTGAAGTTGGAAAATGCTGGAGAGATTCCACTGCCAAAAGACAGTGGGTTAATGAATGCTCTCTATATGAACTCTCATTTATGCAAAAAAAACTACCTTAACACATTTTCTAAATCACAAGCTTTTGTACATCTAGCTCTGTGGGATCCAGATCAATATATAATATATAGTTCTACTGTAGCATATAACTATTGAAGAAAGAGCATGTTTATTTACATTGGTCAATACTGCAATTAATAAGGTAGTGAGCTTGTTGTGCTGGATCCAATGTTGGTAACAAAATATTTTATTTGGGGATTTGCATTTCCCTTAGGAAATATATATAATAAATATACATATTTATAATATTTCCCTTAAGAAATATTTGCTAAAATATGATCTAAATGGTATCTTATTAGTCAAGAAAAATTACCAAAAAAGAATAATAATAATTTTTAGCTGATTAATCTATAAATTGTTTTCCCTTACATCCCAGTTATATGGGAATATTACTCATTTTGCTCCCATACTGATATTTGAAGTTGAGTGAAAGTCATCATTTATATACCAAATATTTTGTGAATATGAAATCATCCCTAAGTTGATTGATTATCAATTTAAAGTCTTTAATTTCATTAGCAGTGGTTACATGGTAAAATTTTGGACATTCAGATAATTGTAAAGAGGCAGTTAGGATTTACCAAAAAATTCATCAAAATAATACAGAAAGCTTATTTAGTGTTGTAGTATTTAGGAATAATCTACTTAGATAAAATTAGACTAAATTCCCCACAATCACTAGACACTTCATATTGGCAAATATTTTACACCTAAACAAAGAAATGGTGTACCACTTCATGAATGGCAGAAGGAAAGAGAGAGAGAGAGAGAGAGAGAGAGAGAGAGAGAGAGAGAGAGAGAGAGGTGTAAAGGGAATATTGAGGTATATGTGGACATGAACAGATTAATTTTTTAAAAATCTAATTTTTGAAAGTTTTATTGTTACAGATATATTAAGTTCTACTGTTGATGTTCTTTTCTTTATGGAGGAGAGGTTTGCCTTAGAAAGAATTGCCTGAAGGTCATGGTCTATGTTCAAATGACTCCCATTCTAAGATGTATATATTTCTTAGTGAAGAGGGAGAAGTATAATGGCTTATCAATGCCTTAGTTCGGCGTGTAGCAAATGCACTTAAATGGTTAAAGGGGGAAAGGTAAGTGAACAGAACATTGGTTTGTTTGGCTACACAGCTGCTACAACCATACTTTGATGTTCTGTGAGTGATGCTGGACAGCTCCCCTGTTGCTGTGATACTGTTTCCTAGCATTTCATAGGAGCTATTGATTTAGGAACAAACTGATGGAGCTTCAGAAAGATTCAGAGCACAGATAATGAAAATATAGTAGCAGCTGAATAAATTCACAAACATTAGCAATAGTAAATGATAATTGGGTAGCCTACTTAACAAAATACAATATTGAGAGACTATAAAAGTAGAGCATGTATTTATCAAGTATTGCTTATTTAAACTCTTCTTTAATTTTTATAAAGGTTCAGTTTCTATTCTCAAGTAAAACTAAAGAACTTGCATAATCTCTTTTGCATTTTAAAGCTATTTTCCTTACCCTTTGCAGGATTGAAGTGTGTATGTCTTTTGTGTGACTCTTCAAACTTTACCTGCCAAACAGAAGGAGCATGTTGGGCCTCAGTCATGCTAACCAATGGAAAAGAACAGGTGATCAAATCCTGTGTCTCCCTCCCAGAGTTAAATGCTCAAGTCTTCTGCCATAGTTCCAACAATGTTACCAAAACTGAATGTTGCTTCACAGATTTTTGCAACAATATAACACTACACCTTCCAACAGGTAAGAGGTCTTATTTTTAAAATTCATTTCAAATTTCCTTTTAATCTTAGGAAATTATAAATAGTGGAAATCAAACAGTCTTATTTTTTTAAATAAGAAAATATGCTTCACTATTCTCTTTTTGTTCTTGACTCATAAAATTCTCTAGAGTCCAGTTGACATTGATTTTTTTAAAAAGATATTGCATATCACTGTCAAAACATTGACACTGGCATAACCATTTTGAAAAGATTTGTTCACATAAATTGTCTTTTTTGAAGTGAGTAATGGACATAAAATGAAATGTAAGTTTTTATGAATTCTTCTAAAGGAAAAGAATTGAGGAACATTGATACGTATACAAATAAAAGAAAGACAAAGGAAAGAAACAATGAGCACAAATCTAATCTCTGACAGAAAATAGATAACTATTTTAGCCCTAGTGAAAGTGAGGATGGACAGAGAACATTTTGGGATAATTGAGATGCAGTGGTGGTTATATGGTCATATGTATGTGTAAAAACTCACCAAACTGAAAAATATAATATGTATGCACTTTATTATATGGAGATTATGCCTCAATTGAGTGGATTTTCAAAGAAGAAAGGCTGATTTTTGACTAAATTTAAGGGTAGAACATGGACTCAGATAGAATTCATTGTAAATACTTAATCAGAGTTCATAGTTAGACTGGGAAGGACTTGCATTTTAGATGCTCTAAGTACTTTAATTTTCCCAGCCACATAGGTAGTATTTTGTTCTTTTGTTACAAAGTACTGTCTTGTACCCATACTGACTGGCAGAACATGATCTTGTGGATAATTTGTTATTGAGATGACACATTAAAGAGACTCTTGACACAGATGATGAAAGGACTTCCCTCCATATTTCCTTATCTTTTGTACTTAGTTATGAATAAGATCAGCACAGTAGAACTAAAAAAAAAAAAAAAATAGAAAAAAAACCCATTCCACATTCATGGATTAAAAAATTCAATATTGTTAATATGAGTATCCTCTCCAAATTAATCTATATATTTAGCTCAATCTAAACAATTAATCTCTTACCCAAGGAGAAACTGGGGAAAAAACCATAAACAAAGAAAAATGTTCATGAGAGATCTCAGAGAACCACCAAATAAAGAAATATATGGAATGTGAGGCAGAGAGAATAGGGCAATCTAAAAACCAAGATTGCACGTAGATTTAAGGAATGAAAGGGGCCAAGCATAACTTTTGAGGTTGTATATATAAGATAATGTCTTAGAACAGTATTTCCTAAGAGTGAGACAAGTACCAGTTGTGGTATATGAAAAGATTTTAAGAATTTTCAAGCTGAATAGGCATGGCAAACACATGTGATATTGAATTTTATATGTGCACACTGAAATGTGTATTAAAATACCACACTGAACCCCATTAATACGTACAATTAATATTTGCTAATTAAAAATTTTTAGAAATTTTTGGAAAAAACACTAAATAATATTAACTACATGATGATATCTTCTCTAATTTTCTTAGTTTTCCTGACTTTTGTATCAAGATTTCTCATTTCCAGATAGTGTGTCTTTAATACTTCATTCTTTTTTAAACAGAGAGAAAACATAAAATATCTAACTAGAATGCAGTAACATTGATGGTTTACGTAGTTATCTTCTATTCATGGCAAGCAAACTTTAAAATTTGTGGTAATGATACTAGGTTTCTGTATAAAATAAATGTTTTCAGTTAAGAATTAATTTATGAAAATTCTATAGTGGTTTATAAATATGGTGATTTAAGTAAATCTATTGATCACTGATATATTTTCTATCATTGTAGATTAAATTTTTTTCTTTTAGAGTTTCACATGAAAGGAGTCATTATGGAACAGATTTAGGGGGTTTGACTTCCTTCACTTTACATAGTGTTTTCAAAATTAATCCATGTTGGTTGTATTAGTAGCTTTTTTATTTTTTAAATTCTCAGTAATTACCAATTATATGTACAGAATAATTTTTTAAAGTCCATTCATGTGTTGGTGAGTATTCAGGTTGTTTCCACTTGCAAACCGTTATTAACAAAGCTGTTATGAACATTCATTTACAAGGCTTTGGAAAATGTTTTCATTTCTCTTGGAAAATAACCTGAGTAGAATTGTGGCATCATATGGAAAGTGTATGTTTAACTTCATAAATATAACCTCATAAATAATTTTCAAATTGCTTGTATATCCCCAATAGAAATGTATGATAGCTTCAGTTAGGTCCATACACTTGCTAACACTTGGTATAATCTGTTCTTTTGATATTAGCCATTCATGTGGTTGTCTAGTTATATTTTATTTTGGTTTTCATCCATGTTTTTCTGATGAATAATGATGTTAAATTATTTTTATGGGCATATAAGTCATTTCTGTATCTTCTTTTATGAAGTATCTATTCAAGTGCCTATTGAAATTGGGTTATTTATCTTCCTATGGTTGAATCATATGAACTTGATATATATTCTCATACAAGTTATCATCATATACATTTATTGTTAATATTTTCTCCCACTCTGTGAATTGCCATTTTATTTTTTTCATTGAATTTTCCACGCTTTGGGATGCTATTGTGAATGGTATTTTTAATATCTTAATTTCAAAATGTTAATTGCTGCTATATTAAATAATTAATTTTGTATATTGACCATATATCCTGCAAGATTGAGAAAATAAATTAGTTCTAATAGATTTTGTTTTAAAGATTCTTTGATATTTTCTAAATATGCAATCATCTTATCTGGGAACACAGGTTGTCTTTGATCTCCATTCTGGTCTGTATTCATTTTGCTCATCTTTCTTGCCTTTTTTGCATTGCCTGAGACCTCCAATATAATGATCAATAGGGGTGATGAGAGTTAAGGTTCTTACCTTTTTCTGTTCCTATGAAGAATGCATCAGTCTCTTCTATAGGGTGTTGATGCCTATTATCAATTGAGGGAATTTGATGTTATTTCTAAGTTGGTGAAGTTTTTCTTAAATCTTGAATAGAGATTAAAATTTTTCAAGCATTTTTACAAATTTATTGAGGTTTACTATGTTGTTTCTTCAGTATGTTGATGTTATGGATTACATTAATTGAGTAGGAAACATTTTCTACAATAAGGATGATATTGTCCAGCCACTAATTAATGTCTACAAGAAAATGCTACATGATATTTTATTGAACTCAAGTGTTTTGACTTAAAGTAAGAATTTGTATGTTTAATGACATTTTTTGGTAAACTGACATTAAACTACAAGGAGAGCATGTGCTCAATGCAGTCATCCCGTGTGGGACTGTTCTCTCTTTGAGGCAGAGCTGGATGGTTACTAGCTGTATTAGGAATAGCAGCTGTTTGAAGAAGAGTTGGGAACCTCCAGGCTGAGCACACACACAATCAGTGCCAACAGTTCCACAGTTTCCACGTCATCAGAGAGAGCAATTGATATCTACCCTGCTCTGCCTAGTAGGGATCTGTCAATTTCAGATGTGATCACCTATATGTGAAATATGGAAGAGAACTCTGAAAAACAAATTGTGTGATATTTCTGCAGTACTTGAGAGTCAGCATCATGTTCATGGGCAAATCAGTAAAAGAAAAAAGTCGGGTGGTGATCAGAAGAAGTTGAGCAAAATCTGGGGCGTCCCTTTGTGGCTCCAGCTGAAAGCCAAGTGGGTCCTTGCCCCCCTGGCTCTTTCATCCATCTCCCCAGACCACGGGGTCATTTCTGAATAACCAATTTGATATAAATGCAGTCTCTCAGCTTGGCATGTTTTAGCTCTTCTGTCCTTAGAAGCTTTTTGCAATTATCCTTGCCTTGTTTCTTTGTGACAAAATTTCTACCTTAAATACAGCTCATGTCTCTCCCACCCCAAACCCTTGCTGCTTGTATGGTAATAACTCAGCAATTGAGGAACTGCTGGCACTTGCCCTTGCCCTCTTGAAAATCCTCTTGAGTGTTTGATGCTAATTCATAAAACCTTAGTGGCTTTCATACAGGTTTTGATTATGACACATAGAAAGAAATGCATTCTACTTAATTTTCCCCCACCTTACACGTACAATGAAACAAGATTTTCACAATGCATACTCACCTTTGAAATGTGTGAGGTGCTTTGATTCTTGCTATTTCATTAAATAAAAATGCTAGTCAGATCCCACTAATAGGTTTGTTCACAGTTCAAGAAACAGTACTTTAATTGATATTTAAAATGTAGTAGTTTTAATTGGAATAAGTACATTTATTACTTTAATTCACTAGTATTAAAAAAAACTATTTGAAATTTTGTTATGATTTTAATTTCACACGTTTTCTTTTTAAATGACCTTTAAAAAACTTCTTACTATTCATTTTAAATATAAAAATGGTTTAAATTTAAGTCAAATTAATTCAGATTATTATGAGTAATATTTAATTTAGATCACAATGAATTCATTCATTTGCCCTTAAAAAATATCTTCTTGTTTGATACTACACATGGGTTTAATTTTTTAGGAGTTAATCATTTTATTTAATAGAAGTAATTTTATGTTTTGGCAGAAATATACTATTAGAAAACTTGCCTCTTCCCTGAACTTTTGATGTCAATAAAGAAATGATCTTCTAAGTTCAACTGCTTATCACCAATAGAGTTTCTTTTTACGTTAAAACAGTCCTTTATTTGACTGGTAATTAAAGTTTATGTCTACAGACAACAAATATACTATTATTTCCATAAAACGAATATGGTACTGAATATTTTAAAATTAAATATAGACTATGCAAATCAGTTAAACAAGAGAAACTTCTATGTTTCCTGGAGCTTACCATAATTTCCTCTCCATTTTTATTTTAAGACAGATAAGAGCTTTCTTCAATTCTATCAGTGCTATTTCATTAAATAAAAATGCTTTTATTTAACCATCCTTATCTCCTGATTTTGTCAACCATGCACTTGGCTCCAGGATCTGGCAGATACCTCCAGGGCAAATGGCATCCATGCTCATGCCCTCTCAGGATGCTTCACTGTGACT